ATGCATAAAAAACAAGAAAAAATCGAATTTTTAAAATTTATCAGAGAAAAGGAAATAGAGAATTATTAAGGTTTTTGTTAAATAGAGCTATTTATATTGTAACATGTTGAACATTTCTTCTTTTTTTCCCTCTATATAATCATATTTAAAAATAAATTAAAAGATAGACGAGTAAATAAATATTCTCTTAAAAAAAATGAAACAAAATATTTTTCCTTTTTGCAACATCATTAGAACTTTCAACATCCTTCTGCAACTCCCATGCCTCTTTAAGTGACAATGTAAGTCTTGGGAAATAAGAATCCTTGACACTTGAGAGAATTGAGTTTCCTGCTTCCAAGTCTGAATCGCGGATGATGTACTGGTATGGATAGAATCGCGATTACAATTCAGAATTTATGAATTATAAAATTTTGACAACAATAGCATACGATTATTCAAGTGATGCAACTATTATGAGATGGATCATTGTAAAATTAACAATTATTATGATAATAATAATGTGACGCGATGCATATCTTTAAATCTTTCTTTAAGCTGTAAGAATGGTAGAAAATAAATTTAATTTCTTACTTAAAATCCTAAACACACTGTAGAATGTTATTTAAAATATGAAATAAATTAACATGATTTTTTTTTAAATTATTTTAATAAATTTTTGTTTATAAAAATATTTTTTATGGCAAAAACTTTCAAAAGTAAACTATTTGAAAATATATAATGCAAAACATATTTTTTTAAGATTTTCAAAAATAAGAAAGAACTTCTATCCAAATGCTTTCCATATCAATCCTTTCCACGTTTGAAATATAATATGAACGATTGTCACAAAACAATTTCCAAAAGAAAACTTGTAAAAATAGGAAAAGGAACGAAATAGTTCTGATAGATTACTTTGGGATTTACATAGAAAAGAATGAAAGAGCATTTACCGTTTTGTCTCCCAAGTTATTTACGATGCAGTGTAGATAGGCCGTCTGGCCTAGCTGCGTAGTAACGTTTTTGGCTGTTTTGCTGTCAAACGTAGGCAAAAGATTGGCTCCAAGATTCCAATAGTCCATTATTGTCTCCGTTTCTTGTTCTCGTTTTTCAGTTCCAATATAAATATTCTCTGTGATTTCGGTAATCCTTGAATTATCTGTGCTATCTTGAATATAACCTATAAACAAACCAAAAAAAAAAGTTATAAACCGTACAGATTACTTTAATCATCTAATTTAAAAAATTACTTATTTTCAATCTATCTTTGCATGGTTTAACTACCGTGCTGGCAAGTTTATCTTGTAATTTTAATTAAAAATTCACAATTAATTTAAAACCTAATCATTACTTTCCAACTCAACGATCACGTAACAGTGATGCATTCTGTAATCTTGTTATACTCTAATTTTCTTAGTTGTTGTGACTGACCATAGATTTATGTAATTCTTTTATTTATACCTTCGTTTAAAATCTTTCATAGGTATACAAAACCACAGCATTAAGGGCTTGTCAATGAACTCATACAATAATAGTATTTGCTACTTTATATTTAGAATTTAACAGCAAATATTAGCATAATAACTGAGCAATGTGTCGATTCGGTTTAATTTACGTCCATACAATAAAATTACCAAATGCTTTGTTTGTCTAATTTAACAGTATTGTATCTTTACATAAATACATCAAAATTGAAATTTGGCGTATGCGCTTGACAAGTAACATGTTATGCCAATAGTTGCGGTAGTAAGTTAACAGTGCTAATTGTTTCCAATAACACCATTATCTCTGATAGTTTTGTCGATTTTTATAGTTATTTATGAAAAATCAATTTAAAATTTTAAAGCTCTATTCAACTTAGTTATAAATATCTACGCATATATTACAATTATAATTTATGAAATAATTAAAAAATGTAACAACCTTTCTTACTAAAGCTTTCAGCTCACGTTCTGTATTCGTTTTTAATTAAATTTTTAAAATGTTGAACATGCTTTGAACATTAACAAACATTTTATTACTTTACAATTAGCATTTCATTTATAATTATTTAAAATTTTCTATTTTATTTTATATTTATTCATTTTTTTAATTATATTGTTCTAAGTAAAAATAAATTTAATAAATTATACAAAAATCCTAAAATAAATTAGTGAAAATATTATTAAATATATGTAAAAATTTGTATTTCTCTCTCGCTCTCTCTTTCTCTCTGTCTTAGAAGTTAATGCAACTAACTAACATTTTTTCAACTTATAAATTTTTAGTTCAGAAAATTACTCAATTTATATTTATTTAAGAACATTCTTTTTACTTACGTACAAGTTTATTCTATTTAAAAATACATCAAGTTTATTTTTCTTATTTTTTTTTTCCTTCTCCTACGGATAAACAAACATGCAATTCTTTATTCTTTAGTCATCAACTGCTAATTACTTCTTTCCAAATATCCTTTCGTGTTTTTACAACAAGTACTAATCTATACGAGCTCCTAAATTTAATTTTAAATTATTAAAGTAACCGTTTTAATTTTTTATTTTAACTGGAATGTCTTATATTCTCGTACTTAGTTTCCTCAATAGATTTCAAAGAAAATCTTATAAATTAAATATTTTTATGACGAAAATAAAATTAGTTAATACATAAAAAAAATTGTTTACCTCGTATAAAAATGTTTATAATGTTAAACGTATATCTAAATATAAAAAAAAACATTTTCTGTTTATTTTACTCGTATATAAATTATAACTTAGTCAAATGTTTTACATAGAAAAACAAAATATAAATTTAAGATGAATAACTTTACTTATTTAAACAATTTTTCTAAATTACTATCAAGTTCTGTATAAGATCTAAATATACATTTTACATATTTAAATAATATACAGAATTGAACAAAAAAAAAATGCATTCGTATTCCTTTAGAATCATCCTATAAAACTTTAGCTAATATATAAAATGTAGAATAAATCTGTACAGTACATAGCGAATGTAGAATCCGAACAACATATAAAATATTAAAATTCAGTCATGATAAATAAAAAAAACATTAACGATACAACATAAGAATCTTTTATAGAACAGATTTTCTTATTTTTTTCTTTTCCATATGACATAAAATATGAGAAACGAAATAAAATCCAAGATTTGGGGTAGTTCTGCTTATTATTTTATAGTTAGAAGCAATCACATTGAGTTCAGATTCATCAGTACATCTTTTGTGTCAATAAAGGACCACTCTGCAGCCATAAATATTTCCAAGTTTCTTGTTGCTCCCACATCTTATTGACACAACCTGGATGATGTTCCCATGGCAACTAAGAGAATATGAAATCCGACAAATGTCTCCAATGACGTTGGAAAGAAAGTCAAATCTACTTTCACTGTTTCTAAATGTTGAAACTCTGAAAGGCTCGATTTAGGTTAACGCAGCTTAGTTCTTATAGATCGACGTGGGTTTTTATTAACTTAAAAAGGGTGCAGAAATGTTTTTCTTGTTATGTTTATTTTTTATTGTTTTTTTAAAACTGATTTTCAAAAAGGATTTGCAAATATTCAAAGAATTATATGCAAAATTTAAACTTACTCGATGATCTGCTTTGTTTGATAAGAATTAAAAAATATAATTTTTCATAAATTCGAATTTATTAAAAATAGAAATCTGTGATAGAATCATCATAACATTTCTCTTAAACAATTATGAAAATCTATTGTATAGAATAATCATAATTTCACACTTAAAAATAGCTAGATACTCCTGTAAATTGAAATTCGACCATTTTAGAGAAAATATATTTTTATTTATAACACGAATAAGAATATTTTGATGGATTAATTCATCATAGACGAGATACAATCCCCAACATATGCATCAACGTCACACCGATGATGTTCACCATCAATCGTCTTTAGACATCCGCATCTTTTTGACTTTTACTTTCAGTAAAAAATTTTAGATTTTTAAGAATAAATTTCAATATGATACTACTTCAAATAAAACTTTTCAATATAAAACTACATTCTTTAGACATTTTAAAATAGAAATTCTTAATATAAAATGTTTACATTCTAGCAATAAACTAGAAAATAAGGAAAAGAAATTAAAATAATTTACAATTGATATTAAATTAATAATAATAAATTTTTTCATATTTTAAATTTTATTCTATTCTTTTATAATCTACGATTATGTATTTAATAATATACACATGTACGAATGACTAAAAATAAATGTATCGTTTTATATAGTTCTTGTATGTCTGCTACAAAAATATTATTTAATTTTACCAACTTTGATATAAGTTTTGTGTGTTTTATAATGCAAAAATTGTTTTAAAAAGTACTAAAATCAGAAAACTAATAAATGAAAGTGCCAAGATGAGAATACAAATGAATGATAACAAAATTTACGTTGGATAAAATCAGAGAAATAAATGAAAGCAATAAAACTAAAATAACACTAAGTGAAAGCAGTAAAATAAGTAATAAATTAAGCTAATGGTAATTTTTATTTTATGTAATTTATTCGTATGTAGAATGAAAGAATCGTGAAGAATAGAAAATAAGCCTATCCGTGATTAGGCTATTGTATTACAGGAAAAATAATGGTTTCAAATTGTTTCAGATAATCATAAAAGTATACTATTCATATTTATAACATCTTAAATAACAATTTAAAACACTTAAATAAAATATTTTATCCTGTAAACTNCAAATAGAGAGTTCGGAGGAGTTGGGTTCCATATTAAAAGCACCAACGGAATCGCCATGTCTGTCAAGACCAAATTTTAAAAAACGTGAACATCACACAGATTAATATGTATTGTACCCCTAAGTTTCTAGAACGGAATACGTGCACCAGTAAACCTACAAATACACGATTTATATTTTAAAAATAATTAAATTCACTTAGCATTCAAATTTTGAAAAACACAAATTTGCTGATTCACTACGGGACAACCATTTAACTGAAGTGAAACAGGTTATTCCCTTGCTATGGATGTCTGCCTAGTTCAGTTCAGCCACAATCCGCTTCAGTTCGCCTTTATTATCAGTTCGAAATGGAGTGGTTCCATAATACCCGCAGTGTTCCACAATACCACCTTTTCCTCTACGTTTTGTCGCAAATTCCTAAAATTTTTCAGGGAGATTTGTGTGTTAGGGGATTGATGCTATTAAATTTTGCAGGTTAAATGTCAATGAAATTGGGAGATAAAGGGGATTGTGTGTCATATCTCGAGTGAAGTCGGAATTAATGAAAATTTTACTCCTTATTAGCATTTGCAATTTTTATATATATATATAAATTAATCCATATAAGTTTGCTTAAGTATTACGCTAATTATTTCAAGCAAAGAAAATATACAATTAACACAGTGTACAGGTTTAAAATATATAAACTCACTTAAGTGTTATAACGCAGTTTTCTTTTGTTATTTTAATAACATAAAAATTGTGTTAAATTAAATTATTTTTCTTACAAACTTTCAAAGTAATGAAGCTTATCACTTCAGACTCACTAATATATCAAGACTAAACTTTAAAAAAAGACAAATAATTTAAGATAATTGATAATGTAAATTTTGAGTGACACGTAAAACCGATCTTTCACCCATAGCAGTTGCATCGATGTAACCATGACGTCAATAATGACGCACATTATCGATTGTCCTAACAAGGTCAAACTGTAATGTGTAGTCGTTGTAATGTTGATTGTTTCCAAAAGTTCAAACTAAACTATCAGCTGAATACTAACTTATAACACATAAAATTTGTGTAAGTCTCAATTTAATGTTAGATATTTGAGATAAATGATCGACAAGGGATAAAAGAAGCACGACTACATAATAAATTTAACAACCCCTTTTTCAGAAAAGTATTTAATTATTAGCGATCATTTGTTCATCATTAAGATAATGACGTGTTTTTAGATCTTTGTAAAAATTTTTATTCTTATTACTCAAAGTTATGGATCATTTTGCATTATTTATGAACGATCTAATTTTTAAAAATCATTGAAAATATAATGTATATAATATTATTAAGAATTTTAATGAATAGACTATATGAAAATAAATACCCAAAAATTCTTTTTTAATTAATTCGTTAAATTCGAGATTTTTAAAAATAAATTTTTATTTTTTATTTATTAATATATTAATATATTTTTTTAAGCTAAAA